TTTGTTTCAGCAAGCATGACCTTGCCGAAGTTACCCTTACCCAGCACAGCCAGGAAGTTGAAATGGTCAAGTCCGATTCGTTGACCAGTACCTGGGTCTGTAGCCAAAGGTAGTGGTGCCTTATTTCCACCAGATGCAGACTGCTGCTTAGGAGACATTGCTTCCGGTGACTGGGGCTGATGTGCTGGTACTGATGGTTGCTGGTAACCAGCTTGCTGCTGCTGAGGCTGGTGTTGTGGCACCGGAGGCAGCGGTTGCTGGGGAGGAGGCTGTTGTGCGGCTGGCTGCTGTTGCACTGGTCGCTGAGCCTGAGCTGGCGGTTGTCCTCCGTAGCTAGGGTTGACGTTGGCGTAGTCAGCCGGGTTGTACTTGCGCTGCTGGCCCGCGCCGTATTGGCCCCCTTGAGCGTAAGGATCCTCTTGTTGCTGGTCGTACCCTCCACTGTAACGTCCATAATCAGATTGTTGTCTCTGGGCCCCTCCAGGCCCTCCAGACATGGCCGCAGAGGCTGCCGCTGCCGCCGTTGAGCTAGACGAAGTTCGGTCGGGATGGCCAGGTCGTGATGTTGTCTGGTTCGAGTACATAACCTTAGCAGCCTCAGTTGCCTCAGGTGAGGCAGGTCCTGGCTGATAGGGAGGTGCGGACGAGCTGGAGTAGGATGGTGCCGGGGAGTGGGTGCTGGTAGGGCTCGATTTTCCTTGCCGGAGAGTCTTTTCTGTTAGTGAAGAGACCTTCGCCTGCCTCTGTTTCTGTGATCTTATCCCGTCCAATATCTGATTGGCAACAGCCATAGACATGCCACAGAAGTCAGGAACAAGGTGAACACACTGGGCGTGTGCAGTAAGATTGCATTCTACAGATAAAGGATTAGTTTCACAACGCAGCAAACAGAGTCAAAGAAAATATACCTGAGCACTTTCTGCAGTTCTTCTTGCCAAAAGGCAGAATGTAACCACAGTGACAGCACCAGTTTGCTGTCATGTTGGAATAAGGATTGAATCTGTGCGGAATACGATGGTTGATCTTCTCCTCGTCAGGATCGGTCTCAGCGTTACTCTTGCTGATACACTTGGTAACCACACTGGAATAACACTTTGTATGACAAGTGTACTTGCAATCCTCACACTGCATGCCTGCAGAGTACTTGAGGAAATCTCCGCAAAGCGCACAACGCATGATGTTGTAGAACTGGTGCTGTACGAACTTGTGTCCGTACATCTCATGAACCTCTTCCTTGCGTTGACGAACAGCTCCCTTTCGGCCAAGACCGAGGTCGACGGGGCGACTGTTCGCGTTAGTCTTGTTGAATGCCAACTGGAGTTGAATCTGCCCAGTAGGCTCCAGGTTAAACCATTCTTCAATTGGACCAGTTTGCACTTGAGGCTGGGGACCAGCAGTCCCGAATGGACCGGTCTCTGTTCCTTGCGCGCCGCCACCTGCTGGAGAGCCTGGTCCAAAAGAGCCTGAAGACGGGCTCATGGGAAACTGTGAAGGGGCGCCACCGGTGCTGCCCATTCTATCGGCCGAAACCCATCCAGAACTGTTCATCTCAGCCTCGATCCTCTTACGACGCATTTCCTCGACAATATCAGAGATTCTGACCCAGAGCATAGCAATGGGCATGGCATGCTCAGCAGGTTTGTCGTAAACCGTCAGCTCGATTTCGTTGGCCTTGTCAACTTCGATGGTATGGTATTCGGCTTCCCAGCGATCGTTCCTGGTCGCCTTTGTACGAGCCATCACGGTATCCTCAACCTTTACGGCAATAAAGGTCTCGGGCCCTCGTGTAAACCTCCCAGTTGCTAGGTGGTCTACATCCTTTATAGCCAGCATACGAATCGATAGCTGTCCGCTTAGGGGCTTCCTTAGATTAGGGGCGTTGATTGAATCGTCTGCTCCTTTGTCAATATGTCGTCGAAGTAGGAAATGTTACAGTGTCAACTCACCATCTTGGGCGTCGGCAACATCCGCATCGATGTGCAGTTCTTCATATCTCTTGAGTGCCTGCTTCAACAGTATAATCTTCTGCTTGCTTTCGACTTTTCGGGCAGCCGCGTCAGCCTTACTTTTGCGGTCTCCCTCCATACCGTAAAGCTGAACCATTTTTTCGATACCCTTCAAATATTGTTCTTCGACGTTTAGCTTGAATTGAATCTGCGACAACATGAGCTGGATGCGGGGTCCCAGATGCGGTGTATCATATTTGATCAAATCTGTTTTCGTTCACGTTAGCACAGTACAGAAAACACGGAAAGTCTCAGAGAAGTTTCTATGGAGATGGCATAGCAACGACGCACCTAACTTGGTGAAATTTTGACGTGGCTTCGGAAGAGCCGTGCCACCAGGAGGGCCTGGAGCATAAGGATGGCGGGGAGGCATGAGATCAGAACCTCTATCTTCTCGGGAATCCTTGGGAGGTGGTGCAGGAGGACCGCCGGCCTCGTCAGAAGGTCCTCCAAGGGACATGTCGCCAACACCGGCGTTCACACGTCGCATCTGGATGTCGCGCAGCTTCTCTTCAAAGAACTGCAGATTGCGACGACCATCTCGCATTTGTGAGTCGAGACGAGATCTGACGGCTTCATTGTTGGTCTGTGCTCTCATGGAATTGGCAGCGTTGATGAGAGCCTTCTCGCGCTCGATCTTCTTGTGGATGCTATGGATCGCATCATCGTCATTCATGGTGAAAGTGGCTGCACGATACGTTCGCGCTGGACGACAAGAGGTTGGAGGAGGAGGGGATGGCTGAAAATACAGCCGATATCAATTGGGCGAGGACAACACCTCAATAATGAGCGGGCGAGTGTGGGCAAGCGGGTGGTAAAATAGACGACGAGACAGGTGACGTCTTGGGTGTCGTTATCGTTAATGAATGTCGTTATACTAAGGTATGAGAGCCGAACCAGGTGCGGGCGGGCAGAAGCACGGAGCGAGGGAAGCCAGAAGGTCCCGGGTGCGTATGCGTAATTAATTATGCGTGAGTCCGCGACGATGGTTTATGGCTGGCGGAGGTTTTCGCCGTCAAGCTTCGCTCCAGGTGGATGAGGCCGAAGCTGGCGGGTGGGGGAGAGGGGAGGGGAGGCTGAGGGAATGAGGGTTTGGGTTTATGAAGCCCAGCCGTTGCCAAAAGCAGATGATGGTGGTACCTTATCTTGGCCAGGCGCTCTATAGGTAGGTAGGTAAGGTAGTTAGGTGTTGAGTGGCAGGCAGGTGGCAGGGCAGTTAGGTAGAGGTGGTAGGTTGGAAGGTCAAAGGTCTCAAGTGAGAAATGTCGTCAGTGATCCAATAAGTTCCTAATAAGGTACCCAGAGCTGGTTGGTACCTCAGGGAATCGCATCGACACTCGGTGGAGGAGGGGGTAAAATTGGCGGGGTTTTTATCGGGCGTTTTCCAAGGATTCAATGCGCGAGCAGAGCACAGCAGAGCACAGCGCAGTAACACTGAGCTAGCTCTGGTGATTTTAGCGGTAAGCTAAAAGACCAAAGAAATCGTTAGATTCAAGAAATATAGACAGGTCCTTTTTAGGAAACACGAAGAGGTGACCAGCGCAAAAAAAGAATTTTGACGAACACGAAAAAAAAAAAGAGAGGGTCGAAAGACAAAGCACAGCCCAATACGTTTCCCTAGTGCTGGGTAATGAATGCCCAAGGCAAGGCCTCAGGGAACGGATACACCTATAGGTGTAGGCACAGGCAGAGACCAAGACCACATTGGGGAGCTAAGACCACCGCCGCTCTGTTCTTGGTGGGGAGATCCAGGGTTTGGCTGGCGGGGAGCTTCCAATTTGCAGCGGCGTAGGTAGGTGTAGCTCTCCGTCCGGTTAATAAGTTGAGTTGGGTTTATGGTGGGTGACGACGTGTACTGTTTGTAGCAGAATTATTCATCAGATCCTTGTTTGTTCAGTTCTTCGGGGAAAGATACGATATGATCTGCTTGGGTAGTTTATCCTTTTGTCAAGAGGTAACCTCGGTAGGACTAGAGTGATGATATGATAACGTGGACAAAGAGGCTGAGCTCCGATGAGACAACCATACCCGAGAGTCTCTACAGTTACTTGAAAGGAATGTCTGTTTGGCACTTTTGTATATCATATTCACAAGCATGTGTCCTACTCGAATTGCGTTTCAGGACCCATCACCGGGTAGTTTCGCATGAATAGGGAAACTTGGTTTAATGCTTGTGAAACCACTCTCTGAAACGGCAAACTCGTGAGTCTTTCTTATCACATAAAGTAATACCACAAAGGTCCAACCCCGTCAATAGCAAAGCAATCAGGAGATAACAAACTCTAATATGTGCATTTCCTTATTCCCACCGTGTAGCTAAGTTAGGTACAGTTACACTGAGAAAAGCATCTGCGTCTGGTGTAAGTCACCTTTCATAGTCCTACAAGTCCTAGAGCCCCACCATCAAAGATCAAATCACCTCTGATTAAAACCGCATGTCGGAAAGCGGTCAATATCTGTAACGTCAGGACCCTTAACAATTAGTTGCCGTTAATCTCAATGACTGGCAAATCATATTCCTCATGTGCACTTCCGTCATCCAAGCTCAAATTAATGGTCAGGGTCACCCTTGAGGGTGGAATGACAAGGGGTCTAGGGGCCGTAAAAGGCTGAAGTGTCATGATGAACTTGCTCTTTGCCGACGAACTTCATTTTATGGCGATATATCAACAACTCAACAAACATTCTCTGGGTTTTGCGCATACGAATATCAAATATGACATGTTAGAAATATTAACTTCGTTAAGCTCCGAAGGTTTATTAGTCCCACCCCATCTTCTTCGGCATTGCCTTTCTGGCTCCCAGCCCTACCGGTCATGCAAAACACCAACATCCGATTGGCTCGCCAACAGCGTGAAGCATCGTGAATCAACATCACCCGAGAAACTCTATGTATGTATAACGAGAAATGGTTAAATGCTCTTTCTCGACGAGAATGTACAGTTTTATTATAGTAGTATACAATGATAAGCTTTATATCTATTTTACATCTTGTCATGATCTTCGAACCAGAAACAGCGCAATACTTCCTGTAAACACGGCTCCTGCTAATGCGCCCTCCAGCACCAATAATGAAACGTCTCGCATGCGAAGATCTATCCGTCGCTCGCTGTAGATATCTTGTGATTTGGTCTTCCACCATTCTGGGTCCATAAGAGCTTCTTGCCATGTCCTCGTGGGTAGAGGCTCTGAAAGAGGCGCTTCAGCCACCGGTTCAAATGTGGCAATGGGTTCCTGGCTGGGTTTTGTCTCCTTTACCATGAGGCTCTCACCCGGCAACACATTCTCTGACGCCAAGGCTTCAGCGATTGCCTCGGCCTCGGCCTCTGAGGTTCCTTCGGCCGTCGATAAGGTCTTTTGGTTCTCGATGGCCAGCTTGACCTGCTCAAGCTCACCACGAACCTCCTCGAGAACAGCCTTTTCCTCAGCTACAACACCCCTGACCAGTCTCCTTCTCTTCCAGGGCTCTGCCACGAATTGTAGGATAACGAACAAAAGGAAGTTCATGCCCATCAGGCCCCAGGTACCCCAAGTACTCGCCCGTCGGATACGGTCGCTCCAAATCTGTTCTTCATGGTAACGTTTCAGGATTCCGGCATTTAGCTGCTGGCTAAGGCGCTGCTCTTCCATCTCAGCCTCTGTTAGAGCCTCCTGGGACGATGCGACCTTGCCCTCCAAGGTATGATCCGCTCGGTATAACTCGGTAAAACGCTCAAGATCGATAGGAGACCAGCTATCCTTCCGCGCCAATAGTGTTGTGACCTCACGTTGTGTTGTCGCACGACTGGCGTTCGATGTTTTGTATTCCTGGCGAGCCTCGCGGACCCGCTCATGGGCTGCTGCAAGGTCTGCTTCTAGCTTGGCATTTTGATGCTTGATGGTCTCGATGTCTGTGTATCCGGTAATATCGTTGAGAGTTTGTGAAGCATTCATTGCTCGGGATTGCAGTCTATCCATAGCACCGCTGAACCTCTCCTTCAATTCGTTCATGTGGTTCAGGGTAAGGTGTCGCAGGTTTTGAAGACCTGATGGTGCTTGCGATTGAGGGGATTCTTCGCTAGGCTTCGTATCTGTCTCGGCCTTGGGTGGCTCGGGTTTTTCTTTACGGGTAGCACTTTCGGTAGTCGCATTGGCAGATTTGACATCTTGCAACTTGGGTATATCGGCAGGCGGCTGCAGCTCTTTGAAAACGTTTGGCCGAGGTTTGAGTATGGATTCAAGCTCATCCTCGACATCTTTATTCGTCCTCGAACTCTTCTCGGAATCTCTTGGTGGTCGCTCCGTCGAATAGAGTCTTGCTCGGAGACCAATGGCCTGAAGATTGCATCGCACACATATTGTTGAGCTCTGCACTATCGAGGGGCCCCAGCAAGACCTCCCGGGCCTCGCGGATCGATCAAGCCCAAATCGCGCATGGTTCCAGACAAGCCGAACCGCAGGACGAGCAAACGGCTGCATTGCGACCAAAGGAAGCGTGTATCGCAGCGGCGACGTCGAGGGTGGACGATTGGACTTGTAGCTCGGCAACAATTGTTGAGATGATGGGATGAACGCATGGGCCGAGCCGATAAAGCTACAGCCGGCTCCGTAGCCGGGGTATTTTCTGCCGCCGGAGCAAGGCCGAATCGAGTCACCGCCCTGCTCACCTTGGCCGGGGTCCTTTACCGGGAGCGCTATTGAGTGCGACTCAGGGTCCTTGGGGGCTGTATTCCAGCGCAACTACAGTGAGAAGAGGGTGTGGAGGGGCACTATTCATGTCCTGCAGTTCCTGAGAGTCATGACAATGACGACAGTCGAACCTTGGCCAAGGCGGAAGAACTGATAACGAAATATGCGGTGTTTTCTGCCATGTACAGTACGTGATTTATATTGCTACTCATCTTACTAGTAAGGATCCTTCAGTATCAACCTCCAATCAGCTCAGCCAGTTTGTAGCAGGTGTTTCTAATTTCCTGTCGATCATTATTGTCGCGATTATTTGCTTGTCTCTCATGAAAACTTGTGCCCCTCCCCCGCCATTTTCTTGCTCGGTCATATCTTCTCTCAGCAACATCGTCACCCTTAGACTACAGTTCTAGAGATACCCAATTCACTCGCTCGTTTCATTAAACTGGAATAGACTTCAAAAGGGGTCTCACTCAGTCATAAAAATACGCAATAGTACACTACAGGCCGTCATCATGGCTTCCTCCGATACCCCAGCTCTCAAGAACGATCCCAAGTTCATCTTCTTTACCGACTTTGATGGGACAGTCACCACCGCCGATTCTAATGACTACATGACCGACAACCTTGGCTTTGGTGTTGAGCGCCGTCGCCAGCTTAACAAGGACGTTCTCTATGGAAACATGCATTTTCGCGACAGCTTCGTTGAGATGCTTGACAGCGTCAAGACCCCTTTTGATGAGTGCATCCAGATTCTCCTTAAGAACATTAAGCTCGACCCTGGCTTTAAGGAGTTCTACGACTGGGCTCAAGAGAACAATGTCCCTATTGTCATTCTCAGTGGCGGCATGACCCCTGTCATTCGGGCCCTACTGGACACTCTTCTGGGTCCTGGTTGGGACATTCAGATTGTCAGCAACGATGTAAAGGCACGAGAGGGTAAGACTCTTAAGGATGAGGGAGGCTGGCAAATTGAGTTCCATGATGACAGGTAAATCTGAGCCATTCATTGATATGGTGAGAAAGTGCTGACTTTCCTAGTATTCATGGTCATGACAAGTCTATCGAGATCCGAAAGTACTCTTCGCTTCCTAACCGACCTACCATGTTCTATGCTGGTGACGGTGTCTCTGATCTCTCAGCCGCTAAGGAGACGGATCTGCTGTTTGCCAAGGCCGACAAGGGTGAGTAAGATATCAATCTCCAGTGCTGTTCGTAATTGATGACACCCCATAGACCTTGTTACCTGGTGTGAGAACGAGAACGTTCCCTTTGTCACATTCCGTGACTGGTCTAGCATCACTCAGACTGTCAAGGACATTGCGGCTGGTACCGTCTCTGTCAAGGATGCTGCCCGTGGCCGTGTCTAATCTGGCATGAGTTAATGACATGAAATGGGAGAATAGGAAATGGTATTCATGGCTATTTAAAATATAAAGGATAGACTAGGTGCGAGCCATCTACGGAGATGACATAGATTCATTATAGATTTGTGAATAGACTTGGTCAGCCTGGATCGAATCGAATTTCGATATAATAATTTCGACCTTGATGTCGCTTCGCTTGTTCATGCATTCTTGAATTTCCTGTTCCCTCCCTCTTTGATACGGACTTGTCACTCTGTCCTCTTTTCCTCAGCTGGAATGAAATACCAGCACAGCAACATGACAGCAAACAAGAAAATCACAATCGGATGAAGGACAAAGGTGCCAAACTCCTGGGCCAGAAGTCCCGTGACGAAGGGTGCAATAGCTCCGCCTGCGCTATCACAAGCATTAATCATGCCAATACCAGTCAGAGCCTCTCGCCTGGTCATGCCTCGAAGGAAAACAGCTGATGCACATGGGTAGATAGGACCAAGGAGAAGACCAACTACAGATACGGCAATAGTGTTGCCCACGATGTTAGGAATGACCCAGACGAGAAGCTGAAAAGCGACGGCTCCTATGATGAGACCATACACAAGCGTTTTCTCACCGATTCGCTGCGCAGGGGCAGAAAGGAGAAACCTACCGATGGTGATACCGGCCCAGAAACCTGCTGTTGCATAACCAACTGAAGAAGGATCGCCATCGCGGTCGTTGATGAGAAAAGAAATGACCCAGCCAGAAATAGAGACCTCGGCTCCCTGGTAGGCAAAGATGAAGAGTGAACCAAGGAATACGATGCGCAGGTTCATAGCAAGAAAGATGCTGTTCGACAAGGAGTCTCCAGCTTGGGCCGCCTCTCTCTGGCGTGCCGCAGGACTCAACTCCTGCTCGTATCTCCAGAACGACCACATTCCTAGTGCGACGGTTAAAGCTCCGAGCACACAGGTTATTATGTAGTATCTATTCCACATGGTGTTTGCAGCTGTAACGAGCGCGGTCGCAACGAGAGGGCCGATGGTTGCCCCTATTCCGTAAGTCCCATGCTGTACACCCAACATGAACGTTCCGTTCTGGAGACCACCACAGAAGAGGTTCCCGATGGTCACATTTATCGAGATGCTGAAGCCGATAAAGAAGAATGATAGAACAACAACGATGAAAGGGGCTCCGCAGATGATGGGGATATATGCCAGAGTGACAAGGGCTTGACCGAGACCAAGAAGTTTGGCTCGACCGAGTTTTGCTCTAAGTATATCGATGAATACGGCGGCGGCAATGAATCCGATGGCTTTACCGACGAATATGAGAGACACAGTGGCATATTCAATGCCATAGTACCTAAAGATATTAGCTTATGTCGTTCAGGGGAAAGATTATCGACATACTTCTCCATATAAGGGATCAATGCACCAGTAGCACCATCGCTAGAAGCATTATTTATCTGGGATAAACAGGTCGAGAGAAGTCTGAAGCGGTTCATGAAAGGGTCCCAGATAGTTGGTGCGACTTCAACAGTCTCGGTACTTGAATCTGGACGATCAGGTTGACTCATTTCTAAGTCATCGATATGGTCGGAAGATGCATTGTCTGGTTTTCGATCATCTCGGACTGGCAGTATCTCGAGGTCAAAAGATTCTCTCTGGGCTGAACCGATATTGGTTGTCGAGGTCGTCATTGGCGCGGCTGTTAATGGACGAGACATATCTTGTTTTGCCGGCTTTGTAGGTACTGGCTGAACTACTGAGAGACCTGAAAGCATTGAAGTCTCCATGGTGTATAAGCACTACGTCACCAAGAACTACCGACTCGATATATAGTAATGGGTGATCAGTACAAGATTCGATCACATTGTGTAAGGAGTTCTGAGGGATAAGTGTGCTTGAGCCTGTATGGTTATAAGTATGTAGTCTTCGTTACTCGGTTCTGTATCAAATTATCATGAATCTCTGCAAGGCCAACCAACTTGAGTCACCCGGTCACTCAGATCTTGATATCCCCACGGGCCATCCTAGAGAGTGGAATGCCTCTATTTGGTAGTTTTTGGGACCCTAGCATGCCAGGAGGGATGGCCAAGAGGGTAATCAAGCCGAGTCCCCTTCAACAATACCACACGATGTGGTTTATTAAGCACAGGCTTATGATGAATTGCACCGAATTATTTACCCAGTGTTGCGGGGAGTATACGATATCAAGTGATCTTGTTGTAATTAAAGGTATCCTTTGCATAAAGACGAGACATCGACATACGTAGTTCTCAAGCAGTCCACGTGCACAATCATGAGCACTGACAACATAAGTATCCATCATATTGACTGTTATGTTACTGGTCACTCAACTTCATGATAATGAGGTTGGTTATAATACCACTTTTAGTAACAATCCCAGCAACCCACCACTAGCAGCCAAGCAATATGCTACTTTAAATACAATCACGATATCCGTACGAGCGGGAATATAACTTATAGTCCGATATGGTAATTTCACGAGATCATTTTGGGAACAAACGAGGGGAGGCAAGCTTAGGATCATCTTGACCCGAAGCGACGAAAATATTCAAGTAATTGAACCTAAGCTTATGAGGATTGTGAGCCAAATTTATTTTGTCATCCTCTTCTAAATGCCTTGAGTTTTCTTGCTCCTCGAGGTAGGACCGGATAATCCGAATTAAGCAAGTCCGCTCCCTCTTGGAAACCATTATGGATAGAGTAATACTTGGATCTGTTCTGTCTATCAAGGTATATCGTTCTATCGGTGTCTGCCCCTCCAAGCAACCCCTCCATATTCTTCATGTCTAGAAAATTCCCAGACAAACTTTTATGAAATAGCAATCGACATAGAACTTCACGATGGGACGTCCAAAGCGAAATGTTCTGGCGGCCGCAGAGGCTGCCCTAACACCTCCCGACGCTCTCAAGCCCAACCAGTCTCTCGTCCGCGTTGTTAAGCCTGAAGGAAACAACCTGTACACCTGTGAGCTTCCAAACGGCAAATCCCTTGTACTGGAACTGGCTCAGCGATTTCGAAAAACCATATGGATCAAGCGTGGCGGTTTTGTTTTGGCTGAACGATACGAAGACGGCAAGGAGGAAACTCGAGCAGAGGGAGAAATTGTCAACGTTGTCCGTGATGAGAAGGCCTGGCGCAAACAGCCATATTGGTGAGTTTTGTGGTATCTATTCGTCTGAAATGAACTAGGCTAATCAAGTCTATCGCAGGCCCAAGGAATTCGTCAAAAACACATACGACATGAGTGACTCCGAGGACGAATCCAATGTCGGGAAAATGCCACCCAGTGACTCCGAAGATGAGTGAAAAAAAAAATGCACTTCTAGATCCAGATCTATTTGTTCTTATCATCAACGTTCCCGACTCTGGCAGCGGGAGCAGGAACGGCAAGTCTGGCTGTTCCCAGATACACCAACACAACTGTCGCCAGCATTGTGTTCACAGCGATGGTTGAACTGAGGTCGGTGCTTGGATACACGTTCCAAGCCCATTCCTGCGCGGCCCAGATAATTGTCACGATGACGGGGTCCTCGGTGGCCCGCCAGAGGAGATAGGGAGTTGCCCAGGCGAGATAGGCATAGAATTGGTAGTGCAGTGACCGAGCGAACAGCAGACCAACGAGGTTGGCGGTGAGCATCGTAGTCATGACGTACTCAGGAGTGACGTAGTGGGATATGCGAAGCTGTTCCTGCACGGTAAACGGGGACTTGAGTCGCAAGAATGAGGGAATCAGGTCATAGAGCGATCGTCCAGTCGGTTGGATCCATCTCTTGGAGATGAAGATCAGGAGCACTAGAACGTGGCAGGCCAGAAGAGATATAGCAAAATATTTGCTGAGGAAAACTTCCTCGCCCAACATGCGCCAATTGACTGTCCACTTGAATTGAAACTGCCGTGACAGCTCAAAGGCCCGAGCCGCATACCCACGAGGGTTCTGGGTGATAAACGGAATTCCAATGGCGAACTGAATCTGTGCCATGAGCCATGCGAGACGAAGGCTAGGCCACAACCCTCTGCCCAGGAAAAGGATGACGCCAATAGAAGGAAGAACTAGCAGTAGCGACATCTTGATCCCAAGACCCCAAGAATACACTAGACTTCCAACGGTCCATTGTCGGCGTTGGAAAAGGAAGATGGTCAGCCATAGGAAGAAAACGGCGAAGCAGTCGTTGAAACATCGTAGGACGAAGAGGCTATGTAGTCGTTTAGAGGCGATTAAGAAGACGAACATGTACGGGGGTACCTAGAATTGTTAGCAAGCCAACTCAACTATTTCGGGGTGTTACTGACTTTGGCTTTCCAATAGCAGAGCATCACCACTGCCAACGTAGCCATATACAGCACAGCAAATATTTGCTGCGCCAGAAGAATATTCGTGCCCTTGTCCGTGATATAGTAAAGTCCCGTGTAAGTGTAGACATGCGCCGCTGGATACACCAAGGGACCAGTATCGCCCACCATCTTGGTATAGTCTCTCTCGCCCGATACAAACTGCAAAATCTGCTGCATGTACGCAACCCAGTCGATCTCGGTATCTGTTGCACAAGATTAGCTTCATCATGAGGCTTTGACAATTAGACGCCACGCACATGGGATCTTCCATATGATCAAGCCACAACCAAGCGCGTCGACCAGCCAGAGCGCGATGGGGATGAGCTTGGAGAGCGAATGGCGGCCATTGAGGACGTTTCCTAGGAATCGCACGCCCTGACTCAGGGTGCCAGATGCAGATTCAGGCATTTTGAAAACGGAGAATGCTCTGGCTTGTGAAAGGGGGAAAGGAAAGCTTCGTCAAGTCGAAACAGGGGTTCAAGAGCTTGGAGAGAGCTACGTGTGGGAAATGCGGGGCCCCGCGATATGCATATTCTCATATTCTCTACCTACTCACCAACAAATCCTTCTTAAGCTGAGAGCAATCATAAGAATGAATGAATGAATGAATGAATGAATCAAGTACGTATTCATATATCAATTGATAAACGCTCAGTCGATCTACAGCTTGGACTTGGCAGACTTGCCAACCTTGTCCACAATCTCAACTACACCCTCAGCACAACCATATGAGCCCTGATATCCCCAGCCAGAGTGGCCATAGTTGTGCACGATCCATGTCTCCTCGTCCAGCTTTTCCTCCTCAAGCCGAAGCCCGTCTCGTCTCCAAGGGCGCAGTCCCACAGCGTGTCGAATCACACTCAGTCCCTTAACGCCCTTACCATCAGCAACCTCAGGGCGTGCCTCAACGATGCGCTGCATGATACGCTGGGCGATATTGGGGTCTGGCTGAGACTCCCAGTTGCCGATATCGTAAGTTCCACCCAAGATTGTGCCACCACCGGCTGCTCGCTGCATGAGGTACATGACATCGGCACCGCCGTCCTCAACTCCAGATGTGATAAGCATGGGCGTGCTCTCATTGCGCACCAGCACAATCTGTCCGCGTGCAGGCGCCATAGTCTCATCCTTGACACCGCCAAGCCTCAAGGAACCTAAGCCTGTCGCGTTGACGACGATGTTGGGAACGTTGCCCGTGTGGCTCAGTTTCTTAGCCTCGCTAATATCGGTCAGGATACCTCTCTTGAAGACCACGCCATTTTTCAGACATTGACCGACAAGCCAGGGAAGGTAAATAGCGGTGTTGATGCAGACAGATGTGAATTCGCAGCCTGAGTCGTAACCGCGAGTGACTTCATCAGGGTTCTGTTCTCGGAAATCCTCAAAGATCTCCTTATACCAGGGCTCCTCCATGAAGAGTGCATCAGGGAATGTTTGATTCTTTGCTGCTTCTGCGTCCTTCTTTCGTCTTTGAATGTGGCACTCTGCTAGATATTAGCCTGTTGTTCTTCTTGAGAGCAAATATGGTGACGCACTTTGGAAGTGAATGCCGGCTTCGGGGACTTGTTCGCACAGCTTCTTGAACTCTACCCATGTTCGACGTTCCCATCTGCTGCTTTCTCGTGTGGCCATGCTGGAAATCGTGAGTGAGATGATACAAAATAGGCCAGATCACATACGGGCAGACGTTGGCGCCAGCAAATGGCGAGGCATATTCAATATCATAGTCACCGGGCATATGCTTGCCCACGACAGTGATCTTGTTGCCCTTGTTCTTGGAGAGAAGGTAGGCGGACGTCAAGCCAGAAACACCAGCACTTTTATGAATCAGCTCCGTTCAGAATAGTTGGCTTGTCCCACCAAGACTCACCCAACGACGACAATTGTGTTTGCCATTTTGATATATCACGTTCTGCTTGATGATTGGGTATCTGCTATGGATTTTCTCGAAACGGAAAAGTACTTGATCGAACAGAAGACTAGAGTATAGAGCAGAGGTTGTCACATCAACTTATACGCCGTCTCATCGGTTCCCAATTGAAGCCCCGATCTCTAAACCGGATGATTGGCTCTTGTGATTGGCTCATCAATGCGGGGCCGCCGAAACCGGGATCGGCTCTATCATGATAGTAGCATAAGAAGCAACATTCACGATAAGCCTGTCACAATCGCTTGAATTGCATATTGATCAGCCAATCGATTTGTTTTGGCAGTTATTGCCGACCTGTCAAACGCTTCTTGGGCGTAAATGACAATCGCCGAATGGTCATATGCATACGACGGCCTTCCACCTCCGTGACAGTCCATACTGGAAATAGAAGGCCGCGAGAGAACTTGACTAACTAGCCTGTGGCATTTGAACCATTTCTAGCCGCAATCATAGAGGTGTGGTGTAACTGCCGATCAATATAGACTCACAGGCTCAATCAATTC